CCAACTCGGCTTCGGAATTCTATCCCTGTTGCCCATTGCATAAGTTGAGTGACTATTACGACTAAAACGACACAATGGATACTCACAGTTATTAGCAGAGTTTTGTCGAGTGATGCTGTTCTGTGAGGCGAGCTGATTGTTCGATCCATTCGTATGGATCGAATGTGAGCTGCTCGTTTTCAACTTTTGTATTGACGGCGTATTTTTGGGCTCTTGAGTCTCCTGGGACTTCTTCGCCTCGAGTTCCCGAAGCGGCATCGTCACAAGCATCATCCTGCTTGATGTCCGAGTAGAAATTAGTTTCCCTGGTTACCTTGCAGGCATGTCTCGTTGCACCAGTTCAAACGCATTATGTTTGTCATGCGACAACAACTCGAGAGTTCTGTTCTTGTAGGTGAAATTGCCGGCAAAAATGCACGGTTACGGTGAATACGACACTTCTGACCGGCGATGGTCTCCGGCCATACTTTGACAACTACGTCAACAGCACCTCACTTGAAACTCGCAAACTTCAACCGCATCTCCGTCTAACGCAACAGTGCGTTCACGACGCGGGCACTGGAAACCGGCTGCCGCAGACACGCTTTCTATTTTCGGGTATTTTCTCGTCAAATAACACTCTCCAGGAAAATGCCGAGGAACATATAGAGGAGAGCGGAGACCAGAGAATCGAAACAACACCATCAGCTGGCCAATACAGGGGGCGCTGGTGGTACGAATGCCCTCTCCATGTGTCCTTGCCTAGGATACCTTCCATATCCCCTAAGCGACCCTGGCCCCATAATGTCCCACATGAGACGACTGAATATTTTCTGTGAATCTCATTGTTTCGTGGGGCATCTTGAGACATGTATAGAATCCGCATATGGCGAACGCATTGTAACTGAATTCATAACTGACCCACGATGTTCTATGATCACACCGAAATAACTTAGACGTTCTGACACCCTCCTCCGAACATGCTTGGATTGATTGACTGATCAATTCTATTACCAAGTGCAGCAATAAGAAATTTATCTGTTTGAGGTGCACGTACTTTTAGGGGGATCCTGCCACGAATGGTCAAATCATAAATTCTCCTTTCCCGTCTATCATTTAGAAGACAAATAACATAAACGATAACTGCAGTCTTCATTGAACTGTTTCGATGAACATTAATTTCGCTCGAAAATTCGGTCATGAACCTAAAGCGTGTTTGTACGGTTTTCCTATTGACAGATAAAATTCTATTTTACTCTCAATTTGAAGTTATTCTTGACATCAATTAAACATGGGAAACTGTATTTCCTTTTCTCAGAAGGTAATTTCGGCAAAATGGTGTTCAAAGCGCATTGGGAGACAGTCAAAACGTGCAATCGAAAAACTGCTATCTAAATACTGCTCTTTGATAAATCTCGGTACCTATGGCGCCACCTAGCGTCTTCACATGCTATCACTTTCGCTCCGTATGATCCGAATTGAACTCGCAGACGGTAGATGACGCCACATATCCTGCTTTGCCACAGCGAATATTCCGATACAGGCTCAACAAGTGTGTGCTTACAGAAAATTTATTAGAGATCAACGGGTAACAGCGTATTTTAATAATACGGGAAAGTATCGACTGAACTATGCTTCTAACCTATGGCCAGAACTAGGCATCTAGAAGGAATAGCAGCACGTAACTCCTCACAACTTGACATGTACCACCAAAAAAAAGCGGGTAAAAGAGAGAAGGAGAAGTCGGCAGCGACACTTTTAAAGTAAGCGTCTGAGCAAAAAACGTTTTGTCCCAAGACTTTTCAGTTTCCAATTGCTAGCTCGCGACATCTATCTGAGCCGCTCAGATGGGCCCTTACTTACTGAACATAATAGCAGGTTCGGTCCGATCTTTCGAAGCTTCGACGACCATAAGCAAAGGCACTACATTTGAAGCCGCCGCAGATCAGACAGTTGCCATCCAATTCGGATAAATGACCCAATTGACAAATGTGATAGCGTTTAATCGAGCGTTAATAGGATTTCGTATAAAGTTGGGTCATCCTATTTACATATATAAATACATAGATCATGCCTGCTTCAAACCGAACTGAATCTGCCCCGATTTTAGAATATCAGGCAAATCATAGGAAGCTCTAGTTATATAACGAATATAATGTTCAATATTGGTATTCACCTGTATCTGAAGGAAAAGATATGGTGAGTGTGGTCACGCACCTCTCCCTAATTAGTCCGAAAGCAAAACACGACGTAAATCCAAAAACGAAGCAGACCAAAGTGGTAACAATATATATATATATATATATTGAACGGGAACTGTTCTCAACGTCAAGAAACTGATAGCAGGCAGATGATCGAAAATTTACTGGGCGAACAAATAGGTTATTTGTCTTTTTCTTCACAACTTTGTTTTGCTTTCATTTTCAGTGTTCGATTTCATCGTAATAGTGAATCTCCTAAATCTATTGAAATTTTAATACTGATAGGCTTTCGGACATAACGAAGAAATGCCAAATTTCCAGAGTCGGCCTGACTCATTACGTTTGGTGATTAACAGCGTCTCACAGCTAAAATAGAGTATGAGACAAATAGTGTCTATAATACATGGTCATTTTTAGCGTTCAAAAGAGCCGCTGTTATAAGGTAACCATATTTTAGTGATTCAAGAAACACAATTATAAATCTTCGTACATATTGACCCAAATCTAGGCTGGCAACTGCTTCTAGTTAGATCCCTAATATTGTTCATTGTCATCGTAATAGTCTAATTTCGTTCTAAATTGAGTTTTACATACAGATCGAGCTGGCAGTGATAGAAAGTCAACTGGCATATGCGAAGCAGATGAATCATTTAAAACTTAAAATTTGTCGTTTATAAACATGCTATGCATATGCAACGAGCAAATAGGGCCGCAGGTAAGACGATACTGCAGTTATATTGGTTTCAGCTTTCTGATTCCAATAGTCGTTCAGTAAGTTCGTTGCAAGGCTACCGCAGTTCGTGGGACAAGTTCCTCGAGAGCAAGACCTGTGGCTCATTAAAGCTGTAATATCGATCATACGATTTCATCGCTCCTGAGTCTCAGTCATCCGATGCTTCTGGCTTGCATTTGTCGAAATAGGAAAAACCATAATGAAAAAACGTCACAGCTTTCACAGTATTAGCGCCGCTGAGCGTAACGCGTGCGTTCACTACAGAGCGGATAACGGTACATCGAGACAACCCCTTAGAATATATATCGCACAGCGTGTCTATGCGTAACATTTATGAGGGTCGTTGCCATTTTCTGGCTTTTTTTTTGTCGTTACCTTTAAATTATTTTATAAGTAAACAAACTAACTTACTCAATATGGCTTTCAGTGACATTTTAATTACTAAGCCAATATTCTGTTAATGATACAAATCGTCGTATGATTTTCTACTTGTTTAGGAACTGATCTGCTCTGCGAAGCGATGCTTACGCTGTTGGCCCTGCGTCACAGGAGATTATAGAAATCATTTGTATTCCTCGTCGTCGTCGTCGTCGTCGTCGTCGTCGTCGTCGTCGTCATCGTCGTCGTCGTCGTCGTGGTCGTCGTCGTCGTCGTCGTCGTCGTCGTCGTCGTCATCGTCGTCGTCCATAAGCCTTATTCGGCCTTGGTTAATGAAACTAGCTACGATCCCATGGACCGATACCCCCTGAGGTAGCCGATCTCACTCAGGCTGAACAATACCATATGCTAAATTCATCACTGCACAGTTATGTTGTAAGTTTATACAGTAGAGAGATAAATTTTATAAGTTATATCTAGTCGAAATTGAATAGGAAAATTAATTAGTATATCCATAATTATAACTTGTATATTGGCTGCTGTACATCTCGTGCTCTTAAATAGCCGAACATGATAAAACTTAACAGGATTAAATGTTCCTAATTAAATAGTGCCTTCATTACTACTCATAAACAAGTTTTTAGTCAAACAGTTAATTAAACAGTTTTAACCAATTTTAAATCAGAAGTGCTGGTTTAACAGATATCGGTATTGCTCCTATATAGTTTAGATGCCTTAGTGGGCAAGAGTTTTCAACAAAGAGCATCAGAAGCAAACGCTCATGGGTGCCCTACTTCAAGTAAAACCCTCTCTTTTTCATTTGAGGATGTCTGACACAATCCGTAATTCCAAATTCAGTGGCGTTGTTTGATATTAACAAAAAAAAAAAAGAAAATTGGAAACCAATTTGCTTTTACGCAGGCTTCGCGAGGAGGGTCTGACCACACTGATGAACTTGTCACTAGCTATAGCATGAGCGTGAAGGGACTTACATGACACAACAATATAGGTTGGTAAACAAACATTGCCGAAAACATCTAGTATGATGGAATAGACGTGTGAAAAAGCATTGATCGGACTTTCTGGAAGCTCACAGTTGCTACTGAAATCTAACGGCTCATTGTACTCTGGAGTTAGTTGTTTATGAACTTCGTCGCCCGACTCTTCGTATTATCATGTACTTTGTTTTTGTTCGTACAGTATACAAGTATGACATATAACTGTACACTACCGGGACAAAGCTTGGCCTGTGTGGGTCTTCGCCTAGGGCTTGGCATCTTCTGTTAGGCTTATTTCTACAGATACCATTACCTGCTAAATCATGGTTTTTCTCTCATAGATATATTCCGAGTTGGCCTGAATCTTCAATATTATGTATTTATATACATTTATTAACGCTTTCAATTATTCCTCCCTGTGAGAACAAATCCACCTAATCACCTCTCTGGCACAGGAGATATCAAGGCTTGTCGCCACTATAAAATCTAGCTGAGATGAATCGTCTCTGTGTCACATACTTGGAGAAGTCCAATCGAGATAACAAATTCAATAACTATGATCACAGTGTATTTAGTGTGTATTTACACACCACGACGGCGTAGTGTACCTTGCCTATTGTCAGCCTTGGAATACTACACTCGATTCATCATATATGGCTTAAAGTGTTGCTTTCTATCGTAAGGTGTTGTCCTGTGGTGTTTTGCACTTACCGTTAAGATCGATGCTGCTCCCGGCAGCGGAGGCCTCAAATCCGATTGAGTTCTCTCTGGAACGCGCGTTGCAAAGAGATCCTCCCGTCTCTCTGACCCCCGTCGTCGCGGTACTGCTTCCAACCCCACCATTTGTCTTCACGACCGCAGAGTCCGCTGAGTCGACACGCAGCGAGTCTCGGTGTCTGGAGCCAGCGTCGAAATTAGATCATTCCACCGTTCACGAAATTGCCGTTGACATCGTCGGCATAGCACCAGACGATAATCAGGACCGCCAAAACATACCGCACAACAAAGAGAATTCGGTGAATTTTCAGATAAACACTGTATATCCATTTTTTTTAGAAGGAGCTGCTCTGATAAACTCTACCTCATGCTGCCACGGCCACAGCTACTCGGAGGCTTACTTTTAGTTAATAAATCGATGCTATATATATATATATATATATATATATATATATATAGCTACTTGCCAGAGGGCTTTGTCTCAAATTGTGTAGAGATGCATCTGTCTCAAACTCCATAATGTAAAAATGTCCTTATGGATCTAAAGCAAAAAGGGTGAACACGAATTCATTCACAGAAGTAGCAAAGAAACTCACTCGTTCCGATATTTTCTCTGAGTATCGAAAAAACGCTTCTCGAATTGAGTTTCTTGTATTGCATATAATACACTGTCGCCTTGCTTGTGTACTACGAGGAACATCCTTCTCAATGAGTTTTAGTGCTCGGGAAACTTGATTCCAGCAACCTCAGTTGACTTCACCGTTATTGCTAACAGCATTTATGCGACCGGTTCACCTCAGGTGGACTGGTTGAGAACCATACTGTTTCAACCACGTAACGGGTCGCCACACTATAACCCATACATGTGGCGAGGGCTCTACACTTTCGTTAGTCCTACCCCCTGAGGTTCAAGCACGTTGCTGTGCTCTCGCTCTGGTTGCTGACTTTCCGTACTGTGATCGTCTGACACTGATCTGAGGCGGTAACAGTATCCAGTGTTACTAACGCCACTTGTGCCGATACAAGCTGTTGGGGGTTTAATCCTAGTGGACCGACAGACGGTCAGGCTGCCCAGACAGTCACGACCCACGTTATTGTATAATGGTGTAGACACATCGTTCGTGCACGTTCACGACGGCCAGCCGACGGACACACTACAAAACAGACAAGCACAAAGTCCCAAGGGGATACTGCTGCTGCCGTCAGATTCTACCGGCGAGATCCTGCGGCGGCATCAGGAATGCTGCTAACAAAACGCTGCTGCCGATATAAACGTTCAAAACAAACAGATACAGGCTTCAAAGGCTGGGCACATATTATGGACAGGTGAACGGTTCTGCGCGACAGCCAATGTGCCGGTAGTAGTAGTAGTAGCCAGCGAAACCGAAATAAAATTTGCTCAAGGTCGGCCTCCATGACCTCTGCAACATGGCGTACAACAATGAATACAAGGGAAGGTTCTATCAATTGCAAGAACACCGTAGCCTAAGGTATGAATACTGCCTCTCCTTTAACGCCACGATTATCTGATCATCAAAATCGACGCTACAGTCAGTCAAAAGCAATGCCAATTGTTAAATGCACATTCTGGTTTAGTTTAACTAAGCCGACGCACGTTTGATGTCTGAATAGCTTTGTGCCAGATATGGTACGGGCGAACTAGCAGTAGTAATTGGTTGTAGTGGAGCCTAAATGGCAGAGCAAAACAGGCAGAACTCCCCACAACACCAATATATGCGTGAAGAAGGGGAGAAACGAATGACGAACCCCACAGCCCCGAGTTCTGCAGAAAGCTAGGGGGTCACGACACAATGGATGGCCGAGCACCATAACTGGCTGTTAGAGGCCTCTTTCGTCGGACAGTATACATATGCAGCATCAGCTATTTGACCGAGTTCCTGCAAGATGGACGTGAGACTTTACTGTAGCACGATACCTCCACCCCTCTCCCCAATCCATGACGTTTGCATCGATATTTTAGATAACGACCCCGGTTTTTTTGCCGTTGGACTGGCTGTGCTCGGATGCGCCGAACACCAGACGGTGCTTTGACGTGCGCCTGATTCGAGTACGAACTGCTACGGCAGTTCTACGGAGTGTTTCGTACAAGCGACAGGAAGTGACCTTAATATCGAATGGTTTATTTTAGTCCACAAAGCCTATTATAGATTAGAAAAAAGCCATTACTCAAACTATGGTAGTGGTTCATCTTGTATCGAATAGCCTGTCGGTGAAAACTGATTAGATGTAAGTAGCTACACTTCATAAGGTATAGCTACTAACATCTTTAAGTTCATGGGCTTAATTTCCGATGTTGCCTAGTTGCAGATGTAGATTGAACGGGTCTGAACGGATACTCTAGCATTTGATAATAGCTAGGGATATTATTAATGTATCAGTACTAGCAGGCGCCGGTCTAGTAATTTAGTGACTAGTGTGTATGCTGCTAGGAAAGGCTGCCTCCAACAATGAAGAAAGTAGTCAAAGATTTATTTTAAATGACATTAGAGTGAATTATACTCACTTATTTTTCGAAAATGTGAGAGCTATAATAGACTGCAATAATTATTCAGTAATAGGCAGGGGAAATCTGTAATTACTGTGATAATCGTTTCTCGCAGCTATATAAGCTAGATTCGTTTGGGCACCGGGTGGCATTAATCTTGTGTATTGGTATCATCGTAAAGCGACTCGAAAAATAACAGTTATGCCTATCCGATCTATTTTTTATCCCACGGGTCTGTTGACATTCAACTCGTCTCCCGCTGGCGAAGCGGGAACAATTGTTTTCCACTTATCACGTTTATGTCAGCGTCCTACGACCAGCGACACGGACGGCTGGCTGCTGTATATGAAATTGCTTGATAGCGATTAGTGAAATCAGTTATTAATAGATCATTTCTACCCGGCAATTTTTTTTCATCGCAAGCGTCTTTGGTCAAATTAGGACATTTAACTATTTTTGATCCTAAATATCGTATGTTTTTAAAAAGCATATTGAACCCTTGCACAACGTAAGTACTAACCTCACTCTATGAGTGAATAAATATTAAAATCGGTTTTAGTCCTAAATTCTAAACGAACAAATATATAATAAGGTAATAAAATGTTACCTCTGGTATCGAGTTGCCGTGTTATCAAAAATTGCGATAGTCACCCGTGCGTCTCCCTAGCAAAGTATTTTAAACTGTGGGAAAGGAATAGTCCTGTGTACGAGTCTTTTCGACGAGTTTCGAGCTTTGGTGATATTCTATCAATTCTCTTTTATTCAACATCAAAAATTTTAGCTGTAAGTCTGTGTCACTTCTTTTCAACAGTTTTCGACCGAAACGTTTGTTTACATAAACTGAACGGTCTTCTGATCGGTTCTTCTTCCCAAAAATGTGAGAAAATCCTACATCCGGTACCACCGGCAAACTTTGTCTCAGACAGCGCTTCTTAACAACTGAATCGTCCATGGCTGGGCTGGTCCTCCGAAGAACAATAGAAAAAACTGCTGCGGATATTTTAAACCTCGAGCCCCAAAAGTTTAAATTCGAAAAAAACGTAACGCCACTGAACCGGAACAATGTACTTACATTAATCATATATCTCTACGGTAGTTGATTAGGCTATCTTGTAGTCAGTTAAACGCTAGTAGAACAGTTACCTGCGCGCACCGGCACTCAAGTAAATGCTAGTAGAAAAAACGACATGACGACAAATAACAACAAGAATCACCCGCAATTGGGGCTAATAGCAAGCCCACATAGGCCGTTATAAAGCTCCACAAAGTGTTTCGAATAATTCGAAGTATCGAAACATACTCCTAATTTTTCCTAATAGGAATAAAAGCTGCACTAGGCACCGCTAATATATGAATGATGTGTCGTTTATAACATTCGGGTGCGGACGCATATTGCCCAAAATGATTGAAAGGTATGTTTTATGTCGTCTACGATATTAGGCTTTTTTAGAAAACATGACGCATCGTCTGAAACGGCTATGTTCTAGGAACGTATCACAGAAGCTTTGCAACTATCATTATAAATAAAATTTCAGAATTAAATCCTACAACATGTTGAGCCAGACTAGCGTCATCGGCTTCGACCCCTTCAAAGTCTAGGTTTGTCTAAGGGTCGTTCAACATGAAAGAGCGAACATCTGATGTTTCGAGCTATATCAAATTGCTCCTATTTCATCTTTCAACCTCTAAACAGGTGATGGCAAGTTACTTTACAGCGGTAACACAAATGAAGCACCTTTCGTACGTTCGATCCAGCCCGCCTAGCCTGCCAACAAATGCATATGGCGCTGGCTATCTATGCAACATCCGGTACGGCATGGTACCAAAACGCATATACGCTGCACCATTGCCTGAGTTTAGGCTGACTGAGAAGTTAAGCTAGATCGATTGAGATATAAAAAGCTGCACGACACTCAAGATTTCGTTGAACTAACGCTACCGCTAGAAACGTTAGAACGTTTGTTTACAAAATAGACAGCGTACAAGAAGTTCCTGTGCAATCGATGGACACTGATCATCGCTTATGAATGCTAATAGGTGATAAACTGGCCGAGCTTAACTTTGATTGAGATAGACAAGAACTTGATTAGAGAAATGTTATTATCAATATACTATTTGTACATGTGGCCTCATGCCGAAATCTTAAATAGAGAAGGGCCATTTTGTTGTAGTATTTCATTGAGTCTTTGTTTTTCGAATTTTTGTCGGTTACAGTAACTTTACCACCATTAACGTAAGTAATACCTGAACCAGGGTTAATTTTCTGAAACGGTACGAATGTTTGAGCGGCGCAAATTAACCTTACGGTATAAAGCAGTGTATGCTAAGCTTTAAGACACTGTAAACATCTACATCCACGGATGATAAATTATAAGGGTTGCTACCTTGTCGGATTATCTACATAAACGGAGATACGTCTACCGCGTCGATAATCAAAAGTAGAACTTATCAATGAAGGGTACCACTATTTTATGTTTGTTTATCTACAACAACGTTCCAGCGCCTTGGCGTGCATTTGAAAAGGTTTACTGGAGGAAATACTCGGCTACTGATTTTGCGAACTTTTGACGTATAATGTTTAAGATTTTTTAAAAAATATGAAAAATGCTTCAATCATCGAGCGGGTTTCGAATAAAGCTTAGATGCTCCTTAAAGATATTTTTGTCAATTAGTACCACAATCAATTAATTTAAAAGCAATAATTGTACAAACTTTTTTTATACATAGTTTTTTTTTCTTTTTATATCTAGCTAACTTGCTTTACAAACTACAAGTAAACATAAAGTCAGTTTACGAGCCACAAAATTTGATACGTATTTACGGTATTCAAGATTTGTTAACGACATTGTAACTTTCAGATCACGCATTCAATTAACCGCTGTCAAATCACAATTTTTAGCGAAAAGACCCTCTCGTGGGATTGTATTGCCCGAAGGGTATGACGGAACATTTCTGAATTGAACGTTTCAATTTAAAAAGTAAACTGGGTTGCCCGCCAGCGTTCGTCCAGCCCCACCATACGCCAAGACCTAACCGAATTCGTGTACGTATATGTTATAACCTGCAAGAACAATACGAAACCAATTTTGACACTATATCAAGTGATACAGCGTTCTTATGTAGAAATCATCACTGCGTATGTATTGTGATTAATACATTCAGATGGGCTTACAAAAGTAAACAATAGGAGACGGCGTTAAGGAAGTAAGGCACATACGCACGCCATATCTATGAGTTACGTTACGTTCCGCTCATTGTATATATACATACAATGGACATGAAAAATCAGCCATGGTCATAATATACGAAGGTGATTGCTAACACGGCTGTAGTTCAAATCGGTTGCTTCATGTCATGAAGTCTTAAAGTTCTCCTGCTCTCAGCAACTTCAACAACAACTATGATAGAAGCTTAAATGTCGATTTGTTGCAAACTAGCGACGCTTATATCTAGTACTGACTTCATTTCGACTCAATGTCGTTACGGGTTCAAAGTTAGCGCCAAATGCATCCCAGTTCCCGTGCGTTCAAATCACTTCCCTACTGAACATGCGCACGTAGGAAAGCAATCGATATTCTCGTGCCTATTTTCGAAATCTCGCTTCGGCTTTCAAGCGACAAGGCGCTCAAGTGAACGCCCTTTAACTAATGGAAGTGCCAATAAAATTTTCTTGAACTAAGAGCAAGATGTATCGCAAACAGAAAAAAAATAAATCAGGATGAAAAAGATTATTCTCTACCTAGTTTATTATCGTCTCTTATGGAAACGTCCGTAAGCTTTGCATAGCCTTACAAAATGTATATATCCATTCAAATTTTTATTACTATATATATATATATATATATAGTAATTTATTGAATAGGTAATTATGGGTACTTTGTTTTCCGTGCTTAGCGTCCATTTTTCTACGACATCTGTTGTTGTTAGGGCCGTTTGTGGTAAGGGTCATTTCGAAATCAATGAGCAATTTGAAAGCCAGAAAGTTATAGGTTTTTTGGCGCCAATATTTTAGAGAGGCGCTTATACTGTTTGAATGAAAAAATTTAAATATACTAATGGCAGCTTGTAGGCTTTTTGGGAAAGGCCAGTACCTTTTATTGTATCTCATCGCATTATCCGGAATGTATCGCGTGGGTAGCGTGACCCTCCACGTTGTGTAGGGGTGAGAGAACGTGGGGTTCATTCAGCTGTGACGATGAGGCACACTAGAAACCTGCCGGATCATACCTTTACTATGCATCAGTTTTACATGATATGTTTTGGCATGTCCACCGCGGGCCAAAGCCAACAGCAGCTTAAACAGGGTTTTCCTAGATTGAAAACAATCGTTTCCAGTGAGCCTAGATCCGACTTGCACAAAGAGCGTTCTTAGGTAACACGTCGGTGGATTTCTTGTCTAAAGAGACCCAACTACGCGTACCCTAAGCGAGCTGCGTCACTGCACCTTGTTCCGACCTAATATCCCGTGTTTAATTTAATTCACCTACTCATTTCTCAGACCAAGATCTGTAAACGTTTCAGAACGCCAGTTATCTGCGATAGTCGAGTATTCGGCATTACTCGCAGTTTCAACAGCAACGCTAAGAAATTTTTTCCGTATATAATAAACAATGCATTGGTAATGGCATGGCTTATTTCCGTTCGTTTAGTTGCCGTTCTTCGTAGAGTTTATATCGAAGCAGCAGGCTTTACTCCTCATACTTGCCTGTCTAAGTGGTATGGCCTTTTTGTTGGGTATGGTAAAACTGACCTCTGAAAGGTTCCCCTCAACAAAAGGTCACGTTATGAATTGCGCCTGAATTTTTTTTGTTGATTTTTTTATTTGTTGAAACGCGTTGTTAAATGAGCAAGTGAAGATTCCTCAACTTCATTAGATATCGCTGCCGTATTAGGCATTATTATTACTATTATTATTAGAGCCGCACTATTGAAAATATAAATAATTCGTAGAAATATTAGAGGTGTATGCCTCTACATATATATATATATATATTCTTGCTATAAGGTCAAAATTCATTATAAGAACTAATGTAAATAGTTCCGCTGAAGGAACGACGGATCATTACTCAGATTAGCTCAATGATGACTTCTTTCATACACAAGAACGCTTAAGTGATTTAATTCAGTTGTGCTCCCTATTCTAGGCGCAAAGCGTGATAAATATTGTCTACAAAAATAACTGGTATTTTGTCATTGAAGTCTAACGAGTACAATGATTGACTATCTAGCGCGAAGTCCTTAAATATTACAAAATTCGAGGTAAGTATGTTGTAAAGCGTATCGTAACTGGAATACAGGAGAAATACTGCTGCCATAGTCCCTGCTTTATGTTAACGTTTCTACTTACGTGCTAAGTGACTTCTGTGTGTTCTGGTGGATATGATGATTGCTCTGACTGTGGTTCTGATTCACGTGTGGGTGATGCGAATTCGACGTGGTCACGTCGACTTGGAAAGGATCGGTATCCAGTGTGATGACTACAGCTGGCGGAGGCGGCGTTTTCGTCTTCGCCATCGCCCGGAGATTCGTCCGATTGTCGTTCTCATTACCCATTACGGACACTCTTAGTCACGCCCACAGCAGGAACTTTGCCTAAGACTCAGTAGCGAGCAACAGAAGAAAAGCAGCCCGCTTATTCGTAGATTAGACGGGACGCCAAGACCAGGTCTAATCACGCTTCAAATACACACACACACACACACACACACGCACGCAGAGAGACCTAGATTAAGACGACTAGAAACGCGTCAGGAAGGACCAGGCTTGGTAAAAGTGGTCAAACTTTATTCGACATCGGTATGCCTTGAACAGGCTAAGCTGATTTTCGCTTTTCCAAAGATTATTGCTGTCAATATCTTTACAACACAAGCGGAAGTTCGGCCAAGCTGCGCCTTTCCCCCCCATCCACTTCTTTTGTGGCACAGTAGATACAGGCAATAGCAAAACTTGTGACATTTTATGCACTATTAGCATAAATCGAATAGCGTTCTTCGTTTCTACATCATCTTCAGCACGTGAATTTGATTAGCACCATGTAAAAACGGGGGGCTAAGATCTCCCGATTTCATTGCGTTTCCAATCGTTTCTATTTTTTACAGGAGCTTCAATCCGCTTGTGGGCGAATTCTTATCCGTCGTATCATCGAACGTTTGCTGCCGCACAAAGTTGTGAAAAAATCCGGAAGGCTGCCTGCAAACGGTCGCAAGACCTCCGTTAGCGGCGTCAAGTGGTGGCCAAGCCTTGAAGAGGGAGCAACAGAAGCAATTTCGATTGCAACATCTGGCCCGAAAGCCCCTCGGGCCGCCCCGTGGGCTAAGTCAGGAATTCGTCCCTCTCGGATGGTTTTTTTTCGTGCTGTCGTACAACACAGCAACAAACCTTCTCTTGTGTCAGTGCATGCGGTAACGTAGTGGAGTAACAATTAGCGCTGTCCGTGGCAAAAGGGCAACTGTAAGGAAAAATATGAAATCAAAGAAAATTGAAATACATTTTATACATGTGCATGGGCTATAATAGTTTTCTACAACTATTAGAAAAAGACGACTAAATTTACATAATTAGTTAGATAATATGAAAATGTGTGAGTACGTTTTAGAAGTTTATGTTATTTACGACTGTGACCAGTGCTAGAATCAGCATCTATTTTTGGTAATGATCAAAATCTGACGGCGTACCTGAAATGGGCGTCTAACAAAAACTCTAACCGATTTTAATAGCCTCTGAAAGTAATCCGCTATTTACGAAACAGACGTATGACTAGAACCAGACGTCGCCGATAATTCGAGCCGTACGCCACCTACGCTATATCTGGTAACGCAATCTGCACAAGAAACGGAGCGTTTATATTAAGCTAGAACAAAGTCTAGTCTACTTACTTAATCCTTAACGTTTGCTTTGAAACTAACTTAGTGTAGGTTAAGAAAGCTATTACGAAAAGGTGAACTTTCGCGCTCCCCTAAAGATGATTGATTTGGAGATACGGACATTGCGAAATAATGTCTTTGGTAACGAGTGCTTGCCGTTGTTCACCTGTATACGATTAGAACTGAACGTGCAAATGGTAGTGTCTAACGATACGATAATTATCAATTCTAAAAAATAAATTCATAGTTGTATTATTAGGCATTCGCAAGCACAACGATTGGTTCAATACGGGGTGGCGGCAAAATTCAAATTGTGCATTTTATAGAATGACATAATGGTTAATTTTGTGAGCTAACAGTTTTTCATAAGCCAGAATATTTTGTTTACCAAAATTCGGCAGACTGCGAAAATACTGTCACGGTAGATCTACACTAAAAAAGAAATAAATCAGCCCTTCGGCAACGAGCTAATGCAAATACGTTTCAGTTAACAGAAGTTAATGATTGATACAAGGCGGCATCTACACGATTGTATCGTCGATGTTGGTATAGATTAGGCAGACTCCGTCACTTAGGGTGCAGACAGTACGGATATATTAAGCTTATTTTCCGACTACAGGTAGACTTCATAGGTTCTCTGACGTGTCCTTTTACCTAAGCAGACTTCTATGCCGTTTCTTGTGTTGTGTCAAATCAATTATTCAACGCAAGTTTCTGTACGTAAACGTTTTGGGTTGAACCTGCCCATGGTCCCTCGAGGCGTTTTAGCAGCCCCTCCGAGTTCTTTGATCGTGCAATTAGGCCGTCTAATCTAATCGAGCATCACTAAGAACCTATGACACTACGTAGCAACCTATAGAGAGAGTGTACGGAAACAGTTCAAGTATGGCGGTTGAAGGTATCGTGGCCTCTGCCTTCGATTTGCGAATTCGGCTTCGCCCAGTAATCAATGGCCTGAGCTGGCAAAATCGATAGCCGAAAATATTTTCGAGGGATCAAATATGACACGGGATCGCAGCTTCCAATTGCGTGCAACGGTGTTACGAAAAACGTAGTTTACTTCGGCTTGCTATTTTGCCGTAACGACAACTTGAAATCTGAATGGGTTCTAGAAATATAGGGTTCTACGCAGTAGCCGCTATGAATGGATCCTCAAATCTCGATCACTGAAACAAGCTAATTAAATGGTATTTTATATTACTCGAGTTAGAAGTGATCTACATACGCAACAGAGACTTTAAATGTGTGGTCAAGCGGTCACTGTAGTATTAATAAAAAATGCATCAGCAGCTACCTTACGAAATCACAGAGGGCAATCAATAAAGCGCATTGATATGCAAGCCAAGATAACAAGCTTTAACAACAAACATTTACTTGTATCTATTGGAGCGTATCGACATTTTCGTCACGCGGTTCGAGAAATGAGCCTATTTTGGTTACATATAAAAGCAATGCTATAAAAAATTCGAAAAGCACATTTGCAAAATTAGATGCAATCTGTTTGCAAATGTTGCCTGGAGGGTGGACGACTGTTCTTCAGATTGCTGAGGTGTTTCTGTGGCGTCGTCGGCTCTATTGCCACCTTCGGCCTTCTCGAATTCGTGTAAATCGCAGTGATTTTTCTGTCGTGGCCCTGCGTAGGTGCCTCGAGGCTCTGAGATCGCGATTCCCACCAATGTTCGCTGTCGGATGACGAGTTTTCTTTGCACTCACTTTGAGCTCATATGAAAGCATACGATTTGCGGCTAAAGTCGCTCGCAGCGGCACTCGAGTCCGGGCATCAACGCCATTCCTCGAGATCATACTGCCACCTTTTTGCATAAATATCACGAGATAGCAATTACTGCTTAGCGGCAGCCCATGCTAGACGTATTCGAGGATCATTTGGTTGAGATACGTGTATGTGGATATGAAAGCTCGTTTAGGAATATTATGTTCATTGTGTGTATGACGACGCGCATACACATAATGGAACTAATATTCCTTAAGGCAAGATACTGAGCTCGGAAGACATCATGGGGAAGCACCTCATAGATGGCAGCGACCCGCAGAAGCTCAATACAATACACTGGGCCGTGCCATGGGCACCGATTGTGCGCTTTGTCAAATGTTTCTCTCTTTCTAATTTAAAACAGCCGACCGCTAAGCCGTTGCGAAAATGTACCATACACAACACTGTTACAGTTAATCGACGGACGTACGTACGTACGCCCTATCAACACACTATCATTTTCTAAATTGGTGTAATAAATAAAACCTCTATCCGAAAAACCTAGGTTAATGTTGTCGATTTTGGTTCAACATACGCTCAGCAGCTATAAACCCCGAACCATAGTGAGTGATGATTTTACGTTATTTTTGAACAGATAAAAAAAACAATGGTCTACTCACAATTATAACATCTTACGAATATCTACAGAAACAGTTATAGCACTGGGTATTTACCCCGGTCGTGATTACGCGGTGCAGCACAATTAAAAAAGAAGCAATAGGACAAACAGATATAGGCATCATCTATTTGATTCGCCAATTTGCACGTCCTATTTTCTACCTTACTTCTAGATAGTAAATGTTGCCATAAGCCAACCCTCCGAAGGGAATCCAAGAAAATATCGAAATTACAATATACCCTAACAGAGCTACGTTGTAAAATTACGCGCAGATCGACTCTTTGGAATACAAGCGCATCCCAATCCTTCAGACCAATTCATGCCCATGAATAAGTCTGTACTCCACATGAACGTACCCAGTATGCGAACAGCGAAACCAGGCTAGAATAGCAAATTCTATCGGTTGTTGACGTTTCCGATGACGGCATGAGAGCGTTTCGCATACACTTAAAATTTCAGGCAGCGCGATCTAGTACATTATGGGGTATTTCTATATATCAGCGTAAGCAGCAAGCTGGGTAGCGTGAAGCCGAGTGAAGAGATCGAAAGCGGATTTTCTCCACTGTATCAACTCGCATGAAGGCCCACGACGAGCAACGAACCGGTCCGCTATGACTTATATATGTGCACCTATAGAACCTTGGAAAATGCATCGACCGTAACATTGAAGATAGGAGATGGGAGGGGGGCACAAAACTGTTTATGCTACATTTTGGCGACCTGACCATTTCTTGGAACTTTAGGTAGTTTTAATTTGCCATGCAGGATACCAGTTGGGTTACCTGCGCCAACCGTCGGATTAATCTGTCATTTTGTTATAAACTAGGAATCTGTAATGTCTCGTATTGATTGTCCCGTGTATATATATATATATATATATATATATATATATGTATGTGTACCGTTGATATTAGATAAAAACGACTAATCAGGCGCACCATTAGAGCACTTCAATCGTTGAGACGGCTAAAGTTTACCTATCGGTCAGAACTGAGCAAGTTTTCACATTATGGCAGACAGCTCTGCAGTCAGAAGCATGTGGTTCGCGTCTGGAACGCGACAGCTTGTTTCATAATAAGTTTTTAGCTATACACATATATATTATAATTGAATCAGGCCCAGCCAATGATATATACGATACGACAAGTATGATAAAATAAAGAAGCAAGCAATATTATCATTTGTTCATTCCTATGTCCGATTTAGGTATTTGGTCGGCGCTTACCGTGAATAGCCGACAGTATTGCACCGTATCATGGCATCACGTTTGACTGATCAATAGGTCTGCATAAAAGAAAACTGATGTTGTCGATGTCATCAAAATTGTACGTTTCTCCAAACAAGTGTTCTGCTTTTACCAAGCGAATAGAAAAAGCCAGATGGCGGCAGGGGTTTATTCTGTGCCAATCGGACACGTCAACGATCGACAGTCAGATGTCTGGCCGGCCTCAACGACATGAAACAGCTTGTAGTAGCCCCCAAATGGAAGTAAGCTTATTAAGCTTACAGAGATCGACAGCAGAAGCGATCTGCCGGTAGGATAACAATGCATAGGGCCATCAAATGCCCACGCATTATTAAATTGATAATATGTCGATTTAAATTGAAATTATGTCATGCAGCCTAACGATAGGACCATCTCAGAATAGCATATGTGCTTTTTTCATCATCGTGATCCAATCGTTTCTTGTACAGCTCTGCTGATAAAATCACTACTACTATTTCTATAAATATAGTATAACTTTATGAATGAATTACTTTCACATATATGTTGTAAGTCAAATTGTACTAGCAGTGGACCCTTAAAGAAAAACACATATGGCATTCATGACAACGCAGTCCGCTGTAGTAAGAAATAGATTACATTTGCAAACAGGCAATCAAGCACGAAAAACTGGTATCCTTGGAGAACAGTACGTCGAACTGCAACAATATCAATAAAAAAAAAATTCACTGTTTTTCTGTTTGCCATTGATAACTGCGGCCCACTTTTCAACCCATTGTCGATAACAAATGTGGACATATTTAATAGCGTACAAGCGGGCTATTGTAGCTAGAAGCAGATAGGCAGTCAGCCTTTTCAGCGTAGTATTCGGTACCTAGTAAGGAGACAACACTGCTCCCAACCCAACATGGCCATTGAACACGTGTTCAGCAACTACAATGAAATATAAGTATACATTTGAAGTACAACT